GGGCTGGGGATTCGAACTCGCCACCTTAGGTGTACGTGGCTGGCGCCTTAGCCGGTTGAGCTATAGGCGCCAAGCCCCGAATGTGTCTTTAGATAGCCCTGTCCTGGTGGTATTTTCAGTAGCCACTAACCTTGCCTGGTACAGTATAGGGGTTGTAAATTGGCATGGAAATTTAAAGCAGGTTCTTGTTGTGCACAGCACAAATTAGTTATATATGAGGATGGTAGTTTTTTCCTCTTCAGTTGTCTCTGATGCAGCTTATATGAAATAATTGTTGTTCTGTTAACTGAATACCACTCTGTAATTGCAAAAAAAAAAAGTTGCAGCTGTTTTGTTGACATTCTGAATGCTTCTAAGTAAATACAATTTTTTAAATTAAAAAAACATTTTTCACAGAAATACAAAAAAATTCCTAAAATTTGTATGGAACCACAAAACACCCTGAATAGCTAGAGCAATCCTTTGCAAAAAGTATTAGATAATTGCCTGAGAAAGCCCCTTCCTACTCTTAAAGTTACAACTCCTCCTCAAGCACAGGGAGTGGCTTACCTCATCACTCTGTTCCAATTACCTGCTGCCCATCCCTAACACCTCTTTCCGCTGGAGGAATAACTCCTTATCTCACCATCCCTTCAACATTCTGAGACTTCCCTATATAAGGGTACGTTTCTTCTCCTTCCCTGTCTCCCCCTCTCCCCACCTTTCTCCTCTGCTCTCTCTCTTCTCTTCCCCACTCTTTCATTATCTCTCTCCCCTCTTTTCTCTCCTCTTATCTCTCTTCCTTGGTGCTGCTCTGTAGCCTCCCTCCCCACCAATAAAAACCTTTTAATACAAGCCTCGGTGGTCTGTGAGATCTCTGCCGATCAAAGTGCCTCTCTTTCAAAAAGAACAAAGCTGGAGGTGTTACACTATCAGACTTCAAAATATACTACAAAGCTGTAGTAAGTGAAACAGCATGGTATTGGCATAAATATAGACACATATACCTACAGAAGATAATAGAGAACCCAGAAATTAATCTATGTATATATGGCCAACCGATTTTTTGTTTTTAAAGGCAGGGTCTCACTCAGTCGACCAGGCTGGAATCACCACATCTAGCTAACTTTTAAAATTTTTGTAGAGGCTGGATCTCACTATGTTTTTCAGGTTAGTCTTGGACTCCTGGCCTCAAGTAATTCTCCTGTTTCAGCCTCCCAAAGTGCTGGGATTACGGGTGTGAGCTGCTGTATCTGGACTCAGACAACTGATTTTTGACAAAAGTGCCAAGAACATTCATGGGGAAAAGAACGGTCTCTTCAATAAATGGTTCTGGGGAAATGGATGTCCACATACAGAAGACTGAAACAAGATAGCCCCTGCTCCTCTTATCCTATACACAAACCAACTCAAGGTAGGCACTGTGGCTTGGCGCCTATAGCTCAGCAGCTAGGGTGCCGCCCACATACACCAGGACTGATGGGTTTGAACTCAGCCTGAGCCTGCCAAACAAAAATGATAACTACAATGACAAAAAATAGCTGGGCATTGTGGTGGGTGCCTGTAGTCTCAGCTACTTGGGAGGCTGAGGCAAGAAAATCTCTAAAACCTAAGTGTTTGAGGTTGCTGTGAGCTGTGATGCCACAGCATTTTATCAAGGGCAACATGGTGAGACTCAGTCTCAAAAAAAAAAAGTTCTAAATAGCTAGAAGGAAGATACTGAATGTTCCCAACACAAAGAAATAATAAATGTTTGAGATGATAGATATGCTAATTGCCCTGATCTGATTACTATATATGGAAGCATCACTCTGTACTCCATAAATATGTACAATTGTTATATATCAATATTTTAAATGACAGTAACATGTTAAAAACTTTAGACCCTATTCTACCATTTTGGACTCCTAGGAATCTGGGCCCCAAGCCAAGAACCAGGGGATTGTCAGGATTATGAGATCCCCTCTAGCTGTGACATTCTAAGAATTCTGAGAAAGGAAAACTGCTGGGCTTGACCAGGAAGAAATAACTTGAAGGACTTGGGTGGAGAGAAGGGAAATGTTGGATCAAACTATACCTTACGCTCTTAAAGCAATGGATAAGATGAGATAGGTGGGGGACTGGTTGTACTGGCTCAAGTGACTGTGGGACAGCTCACCATAGAGGTCAGATATGAGGC